CTATACATCTTTCATGGTCAATACAAATAACTATACATCTGTTACTCTTGATTACACTACAATGACATTTAAGAACAAGTCAGAAACATGACAGTTATTGTCTATTCGTTCGATGTGTTTGAGGTTTTGATTTTGCCATTTGATTAGGGACTTTACGTTTTGAATTTTACCAAGAGTTCAGTATTTTTGTGATTTACTTTTTAATAGTAAAAAGTAGCTAGATATTTGTTGAGGTGTAATTGAAAACAGATTTTTCTTTCAAGGCATTACCAGCTCAATAGTGCGGACTTCGCACTTCAGTACATAATATTGATGCGGTCATATTTACGCAAGGCGCGCGATCCTGCTAAACACGACTTATCAGTGTTGCTCAGTCTTTAGTTTTCTAATTTGTGTTTTGTATACTTTTGTTTGTGTTTTGGTATTTTTTGTTGGCATTGCGTTTTTATATTCGATTTATGAGTTTGATTATCCCTTTGGTTTCTTTAGCCTCTCTTTGACCAGGGCGACTGATTCAACACAACTGAGAGGTTAGACATAAAAATATTGAAAATCATAAAAAATAAATAATTATGAAACGTTGTGCCAAATACAGAAAAGTTTTATAATAAGGTTTTATCTTTTTTCAGATTTCTCTTTAGCAGAATTAACCATTAGCAGGTCGTTAAAACAGAAACCATTACGTCTTCCTATTAGCAGTCTTTCAACAGGACTGTCAACTGATTCAAGCCAAAAACACATTGAGAGTCTTTTTTCAGATGCCAATGATCGATTTAACGAACACCGAGTAGAAAACAAGGATAGATATATAATGCCAGGTGTTCCAGTCGAAAAAGAAAAGAATAATACTAGATCAATAGAACAAGAAGATTTCAATAAACCAACACACAGTATTTCAGATGAAAGACCAAACACGAATGTTCCTCTTGATCTAGATAAACAACAAAAAGATTCAAATGACAGAAGACTAGAATGGAAAGACTCTTATGGTGCAGATAAAATGCGAATGAATCCTCCGGTCAAAATACCTGCACAAAATGTACATATTGAGCTACAAACACAACACGGCCATTCGCAAGACGAAAAATCAGTATCGAATGTCCTTTTTTATTTAGATAAAACAAAATGTGAACCCAAAGACGGAACACTAGTGCCTAATGTCCTTGTTGATCTAGACGACAAACAACAGGGAGATTGCACAATAATACTTCCAAATGTGCTTCTGGATCTGAATAAACAACAAGATATTCCGCAGGACAAAAAACGTGTGCCAAAAGTCCTTCTTGACACAGATAAACAGCACTCTCATTCTCCAGACAAAAAACCAATATCAAATGTTAAATTTGATTCAGATACACCACCGAGAAAATTTCAAAGTGAGCCGTTCTATTCTTCTGAAGATTATTTAGATTGCAGACCATTGCCAAACATCAATTTCATTAAGGAAACACAAAACAAGATTGTGCAAGACGACGTACCAAATATATTGACTGATCTACACAGCCAACACAGAGATCTCCATAACAACAGGCTACTGAAAAATAATCTATTAAGTTCAGATGACGAACTAAATTATTCCCATGAAGACAACACATGCAAAGCATTTGATGATGTGATACCAGTTCACCAAACAAATGCTGCGATAGAAAATGAAGCACAAGAATATAAGCCGAATCTAGGATCGTCTTTGGCTCTAGACAGTACAAAGCATGGCAGTTTTTCCAAAGATTTGTCTCTGCACGCTTCCCGCATGCAAGAAGATATGGAAACAATAACTAAATCATCTGAAGTAGAGCAAGCAATATCTGGAGATACCCCATCTGTCGAATCTGTTACCAATCCTGTATTAATTACAAAGATTAAAAAATTCTTTGGGGTGTCTAAGGACGTGCAAGAGATAAAGGTATCAATTACAGAAGAAAACTTGTTAGAACAGTCTTTAAGAGTAGGAAAGAAAAAGTTACATCATAGACATATAGCTCCCGTTATAATATGGGACTTTGGAGGTCAAGATATATTTTACTCCACGCACCAAAGTTTCCTGTCTTATCGAGCTATATATTTGATTGTACTAGATGGTAGTAGAACCCTTGATGAACCATGTCAATTTAACCAATATCTGCCAGGAAAAAGTGGACCGAAAACAGGAAGAGGTAGAATGAGTTAACAAAAATTACCAAAATTGTATATGAATATTTTTTTTTATTAAATTTACAAAAAAAAAAAACAAGGAAGTATGCATATATACCTTTTATATGTGTACTACAACACATTAAATAGTACCCTAAATTTCTAACACGCTAATCATCAGAGTCATTCAATATAAATTCAGATGAACAAAGGGATTTAAGTGGTCTCCAAATTCGCTGAATCATTTAGTGGAAACAACATCAAATGAAACCAACTTCTACATTATGATAAAATCAATATGTTTTAAATGTGCTGACATGCCGTCTGAAAATTGATAAATTGTCAAAAGATACAGGTACTATAAGTACAGGAAGGTGTGTGTGATAAGTCATTGACCCTAAAAATCCAACAACGCTAATAACCAAAAGACACGTAAAAAGTCAACATACTGTAATTAACGATATATCTAAAGCTCTCTATGCAGTACTGTGGATTCATTATTATTTGTTGGATAACATTTTGAGGATGTCGTTGATACCGATAACCACTAATTAAATCAACAATTCTCAATAAGGTTGCATTCAGATTTTTGTCAATTTTGGTAGCTCCACCCGAAAATACGTAAGAAAATAACTGAATCCACGGTATTCGATACTATACTGTGGTATGATGGCCAATCAGAGAACAATCCATCGGGGACCATTATCCAGCCTTTTATATCTGACTATTTTATATTGGTTTTGTTAGTTGTTGAAAACTGTCCAATAATTTTTATTTGTAACTCAAATTATTTGGACATTGGTGCATAGTTGTTTTATTGGTAATGATACCACATCGGCTTATTTTAGTGTGCATACCATTTTTGCAAGTCGCTCTAAACTGAGAAAGCAAAAGCTTATTTAACAATAGTACACACATTCTAGTTTTAATTGGCAAATTGATCTTAACATTATCTGAACAGTATAAACATGAAAACGTTAAGTCATGCTTCGAGTTCTGTTGGTCAACTTGGCGTTAAAATAATCAAATGATTAATTTTAACAAGTCCTTAAAACTTAATCGCATGATTAAATTTTGTTTTCAACTTATTCTAATCGTTATATTAATTATCAAGTGTTTCCCACAATGCATTGTAAATCAGAGGCTATCATTTCCTTTTCTGTGTTAATTGATAACCTTTTTAACCATTTAATTGGGTGCCAAATATGATTGAATATAGTCTCTTATAACTAATCATACTTTAAACACTGGCATAAAACACTAACTATAGTAAATTTTCATTATAAATATTTGTATCCTCATCAGACTCATAGTTTTTACTAAATCAAAATAAATATAGTGTAGAATAAAACTACGCAAAAATATTAATATCGTATGGTCCGGGCTATCTGTTGTCCGAATTAACCAATTAAAATGTACCTTTGTGCGCAGTAAGGTCAAGGGCGCTACAAAATGTGCTAATTGGATGGAGAGTTGTCTCATTGGCACTCATACCACATCTTCTTATATCTAATATTTGAACTCCGAAAAACAGGAAAATTATTAAAGACTTGCTTTGGAAATTACTTATGGCCTATACATTAATGCTATGGTAACCTTTATTTTTTACAAAAGCTGGTTTGTAGAATGAGTCCACATAATAATGAGTCTGTCTTGACAATCAAGACTGCTTGGAAAGCGGTAATATACAACAACAAAAACATGACAAGATGTGAAATTTCTTTCTTTCATCATATGACCATTGTATGTATCCGATCCTTCGCCTTGTCTTGTCTAATCCTTTTCCAATTTATGTTTCAACTCAACTCCTAACAAAATTATTGTGTGTTTTCCAAATCTAAAGTGCTTTCATAGCTGATCATTGCTTAAATCTCTTTCCAGGGGATAAAAACTTCTAAAACGTCTCATAAACCATTTTTTTGCATTGCTTCAACAGCCATAATGGATATTTAAATTACATGATTAAAATGTAATACACCTTCATGATGTAGATTAAATTTAACGAAGTTTTAGCATTTTTAACAGCGCGTTAAAATTAATGACAAGTTGAACAACAAACTAATCATATGATTATTTTAAATCGAATGATTAAGAAATTTCAACGACTCGTTAGTACTAACGACAAGTTGAACAACAGCCCCAGGTAAAATTTCACATATGTTAGTGTTGTAAATTTAAAAATGTTCAGACATTTCGCTTGCAGTAAACTGAGTACTGTTTAGTAGATTTTCATACAGTACAGTATGTTTTTGTTTTGTATAGGTAAATAACAATTATAGAACAAGTCAAACATAGACTGAATAGATCTTAATTGACTGCAAAAATCGACTGAATAGTACTGAATTTACTGCAGTTTATTAGTATGAAAAGTATCCAATAGACGGAACACAACTCTCAGTCCAAATGTTACTAGGATTAGTTATTAAGATATTTTGGCCGAAATTGTACAATGACATACTGGTACAAACTCCACACAAATTATTTCTTTTACAGTTACCTTTGACATATTTTCGAAGAGCTAGTAGAGTTGAGAATGAAGGCAACGTAAACAAAGACATAAAGTGTTTTTTTGTGTGTTTCGTGTGACTAAACGTTTACCTTCCTTTCGGGTAGTTTTAGCAAAACTAATTGCTGTTATATTATTTTTATTATTATTCAAGGTTGTAATTGTGTTGTATCTCAATTTTGGACTAATGGTTATTCAACTGGAAGTTTCAGGTGTAGGTACCTGTTGTTCTTTTGTTTGTTTTCATTTGCATAGTGTATTATTTGGAACTGCGAAATCATAATTTAGAACAAAGCAATCGTACCGAAAAAATTTAAATAAACTTTTTTCCTATGTTATATTAGAATTTCTGATTTACAGATTATCTACGATTCTGGATAAACACGATTGTGACATACTGCAAAGGGAGCCAGCATGGATTTCCTAAGATTATGATTGTTTTCACTCATAAAGACAAGGTTAAACATGTGAGTATACAACTTTAGTTTATGAACTGAAAGTGAATACCAGTTGTGTTTTTTTCTCACTGATTTATTTCATTTTCCTAATGAGGTAAATCAGATTCATCGTTATTGTCTTTGAATTTACTGATACAAAAACAAGTATTTATTATATAGATGGAGGTTATCATGGTTATGAAGCTCCTTTTTGCTTATTTAATATTTGCAGGTTTTATAACTTTAACTGACAGAATAATGGACATTTATACGTCAGACTTTAAGAAGCAAACGATTTTTTTTATATTCACCATGTTACGTTTATTTTTAATCTAAAAAAAAATGATTACGTTTACAATGTATCCCAATTCCAGGGTGAAGTTGAAACAACGAGAGAACAACTATTTGGAGATGTGAAGAGTATGTTCCATGGATCTCCACTGATGTCACATTTGGTTATTGGAGACAAAATCTTTGTTAATGCTAGAAACAAAAAGGATCCAGAAATGGTAAAGATCAAAACAAGTATTATACGAGAGTCTACACTACAACAAACATGGGGACAGAACTTGCCCAAATGCTTTATCCCTCTAGAATTAGAATTTGAGAATCTTATACGAAAGGATATAAATGTAATAACATTTGACGATTTGAGAAAGATTAACACTCATCATCCTATAAGACCATTGACAGATGCTGAACTCAAGGTTTTCCTGAAATTTCAGCATGCTATTGGCAAAATTCTATACTTTGATGAACCTGGATTAAATCAACATGTTACACTTTTGCCAACATATCTCATTGATGCTTTCAAATCAATAATCACTGATAAAAGTTTCTGTAAAGGCGAAAAACTAAGAGAGGATTTGTGGAATTGTATGAGCCAGAAAGGGGTCGTCTCCAAATACGCAATAGCAGAACTGTGGAAAAATAGGAAATATCGCAGATTTAAACAACACAATGACTACTTAATAACAGTGATGACTCATCTTGATATTTTAGTAGAACCTAAGAGATATGATCTCAAGCACAATCGAATACCGACCGACTTTTACTTCGTTGCAAGCATGGTCCAGGCTAAGGATGACACTGGATACCTTCAATCTCCATTCTTCATTGACAGAAACATTGCCATATCATTCAATTCCAATTCTGCTATAATACCACCTGCTTTGTCATTCAGGTTCATCACATACTGTCTCAGTATTTTTGATGTGAAGAAGTACGACAACAGAAACGACATGCTGTTCCATAGATCTGCAGTATTTGCGATTGACCCATCATTAGATATGCATATTCTCTGTGAGGATGAAAGAATTGTTGTTCGTCTTGTTCATGATAGGAAGAAAGTATTGATATTAAAAGACCTTGCTTCAAGTATCTGTGATTGTCTGAAATCAGCCCTGCAGAACATAAGTCAGCTTTACATCAAAACTAGCAGTGATAACTCTGAAGTTAGCATAGAAACTTTTGAAATGAACTTATGCTGTAGTGTTGCAGAAGATCCATGCTTGCTATCCATTGAGGAATTCAACAAAATAGAAAGTACTTGGATATGTCCCGGACATCAATTGGACCATGAAAAATTTGTTTTGTCCTCTTGGATAACAGAAAAGGTAAGTAAACATTCTATAAGAAAATCTGATTTCATAATACAACTTTGTGCATTATGTTCCTATCTTTAAAATCCCTAATTTAATTACATATATATATATGCTATAAAACCATCTGAAGAAAGCTGATAGCACAAAATCTATATTAAGATCGTGAAAAATTGTTAATTTAATCGTTTGTGTGTTTACTATATAGTCGATAGTCGACGTTTTACTTAGTTTTTTTGTTTTTTTTTAATCAGATTTTTGTTTTTTTTGTTTTTTGTTTTTTTTTTGTATTATTTCTTTGTAATCATTTCTTACATTGAAATAAAAATATACAAAGTTGATGAATACAAATTTTAGAACTAAGAAAACAAGCGCGACTCGCCGAGCCTTTCTCCTGAAGTAAATACAATAAATCAGTAATTTTGCTTCAATGTACGAATATTGCGTTTATCCAGCAAATGCACATTTACGTTATAGCTTTGTTTAATTCCCTATTGTTTGCCTGTAGCAAGTCAGGAATATGACAGTTGTTATCCATTCGATTGATGTGTTTGTTTTTTTGATTTTGCCATTTGATCGGGGACTTTCCTTTTTGAATTTTCCTCGGAGTTCAGTATTTTTGTGATTTTACTTTTTACTTTTTATTTTTTAAAGATTTTAATGCGATGAAGAACCTAAATTGAAAATAAAAAAAATAACTGTGACGTTGACATTTAATCGAATACATGTATAACAATTCGCCCGAACAGCAGCATGATACAAGACGACTGTATACGTATATAACTTCGTGTTATCTGTACACCTGTATTCTTTTTTTATAAAAAATATTGATAACAGGATTTATTTACTTTTGTGTCCTATATAAGTATATAAAATATATTATATAATATATTAAATACAATACTGGAAGCGGTTTATTTTGTGAACATAACACAACTGTGTGTTTTTTAATCAAATCGACTTGTTTTGTCTATAATGAGTTATCGTATCTGTAAAAATTGCCCCCGATACGTTTAGTCGTCAAGAAATGGTTATTCTTGAAAATGAAAGACATTTCTGATAAGACTAATTAATGACGCTCAATGTAAGCCTTATGACTTGTGTGTAATATTTTTGAATCTTAAAAGTTAGGATTTTATTTCCAATCTGATGTATTGTTTTAAATAAATAAATAAATTATTATATAACTTGTATATTTGTTTTAAGGAAACAATGATGGAGTGTGAAAGTAACTGTCCAGGTAGGATTTGATCATTTATTTGGTATTTATTTATAAGTGTATTACAACCAATGGTAAACACGTTTGAAACTGATTATAGAAAAAGTGGGCACTTTTACTTCTATTGACTTAATCTCCCGATTTCAATTAATATCGTGTACAGTCTTAGACTGTTTCTTTGGGTCAACATCTGTAGAAGATGAGTAAGACTTTAGATTCGCACATCTAAACGGTTTGGTTAATAAGCAAAATAAATTAAGGTAGGTGTGCTAAAAAGGCTCGCAGATGTCTTATATGTACACATACACAGTGACCATGTAAAAGAAGGAAACAAAGTCGTCAACTAATACTTCCTCATGACAACTTGAAACTACAACATACTCAAATTGTATAAAGTGAACTGCGCATTGTTGTTGACAAGAAATCAGTATACAAGAGACGGAATATATCAAAGGGACAGTTGATCTTATAATTCGAAGACAAACTGGTTAACAAAACATGATGAAAAGAAAGACAAAAGTTCACAAAACACTTTATCGATAAACAAAGACGATGTAAACAAAAATGACGATGAATTTGATACTCTTTATCACTAGATCTTTGCATACCAGGAAAGTCGTCTGATCTGTAATTTGACCAATTATGTCCTATTTCTGATTGCGACTGCTTGACTGAGTATGAAGCTGTATGGCGAACGATTCATGCACAGCAGAAAACGTTTCTTAACAGTGTGTAATAACAGTTATGAACACTGTCTAAATATGCCTAATGCATCCTTAACAATCTAATCATTGTCTTAATGCATAATTAACAGTTTTAACTCAGTCTGATATTGTCTTGACACATATATTCTACAGTCCTTACTCCGTGTAAAAAAAGTCTTGATACATATATTCTGAACTTTTAGAATATATTCTGTAGTCACAATGTTTGATTTGTTCTATCCAAACTTTCAAGAGTTCGTTTTGATATGTCAAAAGCAATTAGCGATATGGAAAATTCTTATAGGTTTTGTTTTCATTTGCATTCAAGTATTTAATGTTGCTTTTAATATGGTTTTATTTATTTTAATAATGATTAAACAATTGATATATACAATTAGAACTTATCTGACAAAATATGGATTTGCTAGTGTTTAAGTTTTATCTTCAAACCGTTTTATACAATATTTTGTTCAATTGTAATCTTTCGTAATGTCTCTATTGTGTTCCTCTATGTAATAAACAGTTGTCTACAATTGCTTATTCCTTGTTGATAAAACTATGTTTATTACTTTTAATGTAAACTCGGAATACCAAATAATCAATGCTTCTATCTTAGGTATGTTTCAGTCTAATTTCGTGTATTTATGACCATAAACCTGTAGAATTATTGGAAAAGGGTTTAAAATGTAAAATGAAAATCAAAAATGCTTAAAAAAATTAAAAACAATTTTGAGTTGAAAAAAATGTGTTGCATGCTACTGAAATAATAGTTTGTTTTTGATAAAAGTCATGGACAACTGATGGTCCTAAGAATATAACCAGAGCATTTCGATTAATTTCAAAAGTTTAAAGAAGTTAATTACAGAAAATGAAAGTATCAATGATATTTGATGTGCTGACTGAATTGCGTGTGATAACCTCAGGGACTACGAAACGTCAACCAGCAGTGGCATTGATCCAGTGATTGTAAACGTCAACCAGCAGTGGCATTGATCCAGTGATTGTAAACGTCAACCAGCAGTGGCATTGATCCAGTGATTGTAAACGTCAACCAGCAGTGGCATTGATCCAGTGATTGTAAACGTCAACAAGCGGCGGCATTGATCCAGTGATTGTAAACGTCAACCAGCAGTGGCATTGATCCAGTGATTGTAAACGTCAACCAGCAGCGGCATTGATCCAGTGATTGCAAACGTCAACCAGCAGGGGGATTGATCCAGTGATTGTAAACGTCAACCAGCAGCGGCATTGATCCAGTGATTGTAAACGTCAACCAGCAGCGGCATTGATCCAGTGATTGTAAACGTCAACCAGCAGCGGCATTGATCCAGTGATTGTTAACGTCAACCAGCAGCGGCATTGATCCAGTGATTGTAAACGTCAACCTGCAGCGGCATTGATCCAGTGATTGTAAACGTCAACCAGCAGCGGCATTGATCCAGTGATTGTAAACGTCAACCAGCAGTGGCATTGATCCAGTGATTGTAAACAATCATAAAAGATACCGAACTGAAAGTTCATTACGTCAGACGCGCGTTTTGTCTACACAAGACTTTTCAATTGCGCTCGAATCAAAACAGTTTGAAGGAAATCCATTAGGTAGTTGAAGAGCATTTAAGAAAAACAGAACAATTTAAACATGTTGCTCTAAATATAGCTAAGATCTTACATGCATAATAATAAGAATTCTAAAACTTGAATGAATAATGAATATAATAAAAAGGGGTGTCAATCGTTTTTGTGTTTCTTTGTTACATATGACGTGGCTCTGTACTTATACATGCCGTCTTTGTGTTATTGTGCCATGTTATATGTTTGTTTATATATTTGGTTGTTTTTATAGTGATTAAGATAATAACAAAATGTTGACTGCTGTACCCCTTTTTTTGACATTTATACCTATTATGTCTGTTTGTTTTGTTCACATATCGTTGTCAATATAATGGAATTTTATGCGACTGTCATACAAGTGACAGGTTTAGCTAGCTATAAAACCGGGTTTAATCCACCATTTTCTACATAAGAAAATGCCTGTACCAAGTCAGGAATATAACAGTTGTTATCCATTCGTTTGATGTGTTTGGGCTTTTGATTTTGCCATTTGATTAGGAACTTTCCTTTTTGAATTTTCCTCGGAGTTTTTTTTTTGCATGTCAGTTCAAGAGTGCTGACTACAGCTGGCTTAAACGTCTACCCACAGCAGCATCAACCTAGTTGCACATGATCATGATCATAACAAAAATACCATGTAAATATTTTTTACACCAAGACGCGTGTGTCATCAATATAACACTCATCAGTACCGCTCGATTCCAGACAGTTTTAAGGCGGTATCATTTTGAATATAAAGAGACATGAAACGCAAAAATTCCAAAATCGCGAGAGGAAATACAATTATATTATTCCAATAGTTGTGTACTATATCAATGGCAATTTTCAATTATTAAGTTTTGATATTTTTACATTTGAAAAAAAAAAAAAATTACACGAGCCATCTTCAAATGAATAGCTCTCTGTTAAAACACAATTTTTTCATACCTTTTTACAGTTACGAATGAAGATTTTTTAAGTGAAGATTTGTCAGCACTTCATTTGCGTCGGCTCTCCATACTTTACAATGTTGATGAGATTCGCCAATTGGTAGGATATCTTAACCTACCATACACCGAATGGGACGACCTCTTCATTTTAGAACCTGAACCACAACTACTAAAATTTAAAGCATTATGTCTTTGTCACGAGCAATCAACACTCACATTCAGGAAAATTAAAAAAGCCGTAGAGGAAGGGCAGATACAAAATCCACACACTCTTTGCGAGGTAAATGTATTTGATACAATAATTTGATTTTTAACGTCTTTAATATGTTGTTGAACTGCTTATACTTATTGCGTAAAAAAACAGTCATTAGCTTCGTTCTCTAAAGTTGTTCAAAATAACACTTTAAGTGGTTAGTGCTGGTGTAACAATGCGAATCATATAAGAATGTTTTCGTAACATGAGGTGTCATTTCTGATGCAGAAATTAAAAAAAACAAAATACATTTCAGGTAGTCTTTGTTCATCAAATTTCATTTATATGGATTCATATTGCTCAGAAATAAATAAAATCATCGTAGATACCAAGATTAATATTTAGTACACCAGAGGCAGACAAAACTCCCATCAGTGACGCTGGAAACAAAAAAGTTAAAAAGGATATAAGGTTATTTATTCCTTGGTTAGACAATCTTAAGTATTTAGAATAATTTAGAACTTGAAAATAGTTGATTTATAGAAATGACAATTTTGATGATTATTGATGTCCACACGTAAGTGCTGGCTACTGGGCTGGTGATACCCTCGGGGAGAAAACCTCATCCAGCAGTGGCATCGACCCTGTGGTTTTAAATAAAGTCATCGTAGATACCAGGCGTAGTAAGCCAGACGCGCGTTTTGTCTACAAAAGACTCATCATGGACACTCGAATAAAAAAAGTATTAAAGGCAAAAAAAGTACGAATTTAACGAGAACTGTAAACCAACTAATTTTCGCGATTGATTTATTTTTGCGACTTTCGAAAATTTAAAACCTTGATCTTTCCTTGTCTAACTACATTAAGTAAATTTGAAAATCGCGAAATTTAATCGCCACGAATTGGGGTAGAAAAGGCTAAACGTGAAATAAAGTATCCGCGAAAATAAGTTGGTTTACAGTATTGAGAACCTAACATCCAAAAGGTTTTGTACAGGTCATCTATTCTAGTGTTCAAAATGTCTATAGTATTTTGAAAAATTCAAAGTTTTTTAAACAGTTAAACCTCTTCCAGCAGTGGCATCAACACAGTGGTTATATATAACATCGTCGTAGATAATAGGCTTAAAATGTTGTACACCGGACCCGTTTTTGTCTAAAAAAGACTCATCATTGACGCTCGAATAAAAAAAGTTAAATAGGTCAAATCAACATATTCCGTTAACGACATACGATACAGTTTTGATACCGTGTTGATTTGTTAAAGACAATTTGAATACTAGCTATTTTTTACCTAGATAACTCAAACATGTTATTAAACATATACCTTCATGTGCTTCTTTTAGATAAGAACCTGGTCAATATTTTAGAAATATTCTAAACATATTGATTTCATGGACATTTCTATAATTCTGACAGACAATCCTTTCTTCTTTGTTTCAAAGTGCTTTTATTTTGTAAAATCATTTGAAATATTTTCTGTATATTATTATTGCATATCTAGTGTAACAATTGTTTAGAAATAACTTGTTTTTAACACATGTTTATGTTCTTAGAAAACAACCCAGCCTATTTTACTATATATTTATCTAATTTAAAAAAAAATGAAGATGATTTGTTCATAAAGGTTGGTACAAATAATCTTCCTACATAATCAAAGCAGCCGTCATTGTATAAATGAGGGGTGCGTGTACTCATTTATCGTTCAAGCTAATTATCAAAATAAGTCAAAAAAGGTATCTTTTCCAAGTGTGTGAAAGTCGCGAAAAAGAAATTACTTTAGCGCTATCATTACCTTCCCTGTAACTGCATCGTATGCTTTAACAGATCTCCTGCCGTTTTAAAACTTCGAATTGACTGTTTTTAACAAACCGAGATAGTATTAAAGCAAAAGACTGACAAGACACTGAAAATAAAATGAAAATACCGGTTTACATTAATAAGTATGATCTTGAAGTATAATGCTGTGTTATAAAAGGTCTCAGCTTATTCAATCCATCAGCTGAAGGAAATTATAGAAGTTTAATTCTCAGCTTCCTTACTGGCATGGTATTGTTAAAAACTTGTCTCCATAATTCAAAAGGGAACACAGTGTAAATACAAGTGCAGGAAACATAAAACATTAAACTGGACACAAACATACCGAACAGTGTTTCCAGATGTATTTGACCACATAATGCAGGGTAACATTTTTGCTACCTCAATGAACATGAACACAATAAGTATTTGGCGTATCTAGATTAATGTTTCGGATCAGGATATTGGCGAAAAAATTCTTTGAGCAAACAATCAGCAGAAAATTGCTGGAAATTAACTATCTGTATTGTCTTGAAAATATGGTCAGTAGTAGCATCAACAGAAATATAGATCCATTTGATCACCATGGAATTAAGAAAATCTGAAATTGATTATTTTCATAATTGTATTATATATAGTTTAAAAAGCCGTATTTGAAAATCTTATTAAATCCTTGTTATTCTTTCATAGTTTTTGAAACAAAAAAGTGGTCAATGATAATAGTATGAAAAATCTAGTGAAAATCATGTCCCGCCAATTTTTCAATGGCTTATATCTCAAAAACAAGCACACAGACCCTTCATTTTCTTCTGCTTTTTTAGTTCTTTATTTATATACTATCATTTAAGAACAGTCTTTTAAAAAGCTTGTTATTTTGTAACAGAGAAGCCAACATCCTTAAAAGTAAACTTCCATTGTTTTCGAGAATGACGTCATGAAACTATGTAATGTTAATAGGCCTTGGAAACTGTTATTCATAATTGCATCTGCTTTATTCAGGTGATGAGAAGCTCAAGTGTAGATTTTGGTAAGTATATACTTTTAATAATATCATCTGTATATACTGTGCATGTACAAAATATATAAACTATATTCCGCATTAAGTAATCGGTTTCCATTCACAAAACCATAAACTAAACGGTGAAGACATTTATCCGAATGTGTTGCTAAAGCAAAAAATATTCTAAATTATTATCCAATCATGTTCATTGTACATCAAATAAGGCCATATGATAAACCGATAAGAACATCTTGTTTTCCTCGTAAAGATATATTTCTTCCGCTTTGAACTCATCAATATAAACTCGTCTGTCAAATAAAATACACTAATAGTATTATCTATTTATATGGGCGTGAGAACCGTAGTCCATATTGTAAAAAAGGACCAACAAAACAATGTGTTAAATAATAAAACTAATACACATAAAGCATACGAAAGCATTCATATTTAAACACGATTATAATGGCATTTTAATTAAAACTATATCTTTCACCTTGCTCGCTAAAAATCCTTGTCGCTCGAGTTAGAGCTGAAGCCATCAAATAAGGGATTTTGTTCAGATTATCTTTTATGCTAGTGTTTGATTATCAAAGTGACAAGCTGGCATGCTAATTATGCTAACATGCTAACCTTTCCTAAGTCAGGAACCTGATGTTCTGTGGTTGTCGTTTGGTTCATAAGTGTTTCTCGTTTCTCGTTTTTTTATATAGATTAGACCGTTGGTTTTGCCGTTTGAATGGTTTTACACTAGTCATTTTGGGGCCCTTTATAGCTTGCTGTTATGTGTGAGTCAAGGCTCCGAGTTGAAACCGTACGTTGACCTATAATGGTTTACTTTTACAAATTGTGACTTGGATGGAGAGATGTCTCATTGGCACTCATACCACATCTTCTTATATCTAATTAGATTTTTCCTGACAAACATTTGTTAACGGAGTTCGATATTAATTTGGCGTTCAACATTTTTTATCAACTAACGATTAATAATATAACATGATTACTTGTTTGCTTACTTCATTAACAGTTAGTAGAAGTTTTCACGAACAATGTCAGGAAATAACATAGTTAGAACTTAGAATAACTGGACTATATCCGGAAATATTTCGCAGTTTACCGGAAGATATCTTTGAAAGTCTATAGTAAAAAAAAACATCTAAACTTTTGTAGTGAAAGATTTCACAGGATGTAAAAAGGTTAACGATCATTGATCCTTATTGGGTGTTTCAAATCTTAAACGAGCAATAATAGACATAACGGAAGAAAGTGAAGGTCTAATTATAACTTATTGTTATAATGAAAATTGCGAATACATGTCATTAATGCATACAACACATTTTACGGATATCGTCGCTTGTTGGACAAACACAAACGTTCACGAATACGTCATAACATCAAGCTATAGAGATCAATAATTAACACTTTCACAAGTTACTACTAACATTCAACTCTTTCATAGATCAACGTAAGCACTTTTATTATTTTGTAAATAATGTTTAATCATAACAGTCCTTTTCCTAGTCCGAGATTACTCTGACGTCCAACGGCTGTTTTGCCAGACAAGCTGGGGCCGTGGGTCGTCAGAGCTCGTCCCATATCAAAAAGTGGATATTTGCCCGTCCAAAATAGATGCGCTGCTTTGTCGCTTCTGGTGCCAACGGACGGCCTTGGAATTATATAAATCGTGTATCAATTTGTTCATTTTTTATTTATCTCTTCATTTATGTAAGTTTCACCTACCTGCCACCCTTTATTTTCTCATATTTAGACAGTTTTCACAGTGACCCACCGATTCTGGCATTTTGACTTTCATTTTGAAAGATTGTCATGGGATCACGAGAAACAAGTAAGGCACAATGGACTATGGGAAATGATGTATGCATATGACCCTAGGTCAATATGAATATATAATCTAACACCTCGCTCATTTACGATGCAAGCAATGTAAATATTCGAGAGCTTCCGAATGTTATCATGGTTGGCACTAAATGCTTAATACCGATCTCCTGTAAAGGAGGTGAAAAATCGTGGTTGGCTACTAAATGTTAAATATCGATCTCCTATAAAGGAGGTGAAAAAAGTATAAATATTTGCATGTTTGAGTCTGGAGGTCGCAAAATCTCTCGTAATTTGACGTCCATTTGAAAATAAAAGTAAAAATGTCTGAATCGATGGGTCACTGTGAAAACTGTCTAAATATGAGAAAATAAAGGGTGGCAGGTAGGTGAAACTTACATAAATGAAGAGATAAATGAAAAATGAACAAATTGATACACGATTTATATAATTCCAAGGCCGTCCGTTGGCACCAGAAGCGACGAAGCAGCGCATCTATTTTGGACGGGCATATATCCACTTTTTGATATGGGACGAGCTCTGACGTCCCACGGCCCCAGCTTGTCTGGCAAAACAGCCGTTGGACGTCAGAGTAATCTCGGACTATCCTTTTCCATGTTCCTGACTTTTACAGTAGTGACTTCGTTTTTATGCGGGACGTATTTTTTTCTCTCCCTTTCTATCTGTCGTAATCATGTCACAACACGGAATAAGTCAACAATTATATTAGTTTAATAGTAGCAAATGGTTGATACAAAACTATGATGTCAAACTTATCTATCATTTATCTGTTAATATTAAGTGTCCACCTGTTAATCCAAAACCTCAAAATTATTAATTGTGGTCTTATCATATTGTGTTGCAATCCATTGTAGTTTGGATAACTAAGAAGGTATATAAAAGAAATGATATAAGCAAAGCATAAAGATGAGAAAAATCTAAAGTGAAAACAATATTGACAAATGTGTTTGAAAGTTCTTACTAAAGCAAAACGAACGTGTATCTGAATCTACCACCACCAGCAATGACAACAATCCTTATTCTTGACAAACCTTCCGGATAATAGTGAAAGTGTTTCTGTTCTTGTTTACATTCGTCCCTTTGGTCTTTTGATTTTTGTGATATGCAGCCCTTCTCTTTAAAGAAAATTTAGGCATTTTAACTGTTTTTGTGTTTATGTGATATTTTTCAATTTCATATACTTAAAATATTATGTAGGACAGTCTATTTTAAGAAGGAGTTTTAACAATGTCATTGTATGAAAATGTCTTTAATTGCGTACGTTTATGTTTCTCGATACTAGTGTATTTTACAGTACCGTATATTTTTTCAGATGGGAATTTGAATTATCAATTCATAGTGAGAATGGTGTCAACTATAAAGTGTCGGCAGCTGGTCACTCATGTTACTCTTTGTTCTTAGACTGTCTTAACAGAGAAGGAGTTTTCCCTTTATCTAATGAACACATGAGAGAATTTCGTCAAATCTGGGACGTAAAACTTCCGCCAAATACTAATTTAAAGTTGTTAGGAATGGACAGTGCAGACATGATGCAAAATGTTCAGCCTAAGTGTATAAAAGACACAAGCTGTGTGATTCTATTGATACTATGATGGTGTCATACAAATCCCTAGAATTTTCAATGTCCCATTTAGATTTTAGATGATTGTGTTGCATTTATATGGGTTTACTTGTACTTCCTTTGACGTGGCTTTGGTATATGTGATTAAAAGGAGTATCTGCTACAAAACCGTGTCTTTTTTTTGGGATAATGTTTTTTGGAGAAAGGTATAGGCTTTCAAAGATCTTTACTAGGCGTATACTAAAAAAAATCTAAGACATGACTTTGTAGGTTGTGTATGGTTAATTAAAATTATGCCAACATTTGTTTACTAATTAGCATATGACTTGACTGTGTTTTTCTTATCCTTATTCAGAAACATGAGATAAGGTATGATTGCCAATGAGACAAGAGTCGACCAGAGTTGAAAAGGGCAATTCTTTGGAATTTAAAGGAATTCTTCAAACTGTTCATACCAATTATAACGTTATTAATAGATCGAGAAAGAAAACTAGTTCAGCTTAAAATTGAGTTAAAGATTTTATAATTCAAGTGTGTAGTTTTGTGGAAATCGATCGATAAAGAATGTTGGTTAGAGTTGGCTACCTTAATTTGGTCTTCCAACTATTACTAGTATGATTCGAGTGATACGTATGACTCTTATATGTACGTTACGTGCATCTGGTGTACTAAACTATAAAATCATATATTTTAAAACCAGTTGTTGGCATGATACGGATATGTTCTTCTTCTATATTTTATGATGGTATGATACTAAACACCTAACGAAATGAATTGTGCTTGATTTATATATGATGGAGACACAATCTTTCAAACAGTTTAATTGAGGTCTGGAGCTGGATTGTCGATAGCTGCTAGTAGTCCTTTGTTAATTTATGTATCATTGTCATTTTTCCTTGTTTCTTTTTTTTTACCTATTCTGACATCGGACTCGGACTTCTTTTAAACTGAGTTTAACTGTCCGTTTTGATGTGTTTTTCTACATTGGCTAGAGGTATAGGAGGACGGTTGCGATCTCTCTAAACATGTTTAACCCCAAGTTAGGAGTCTCTGTTAGTCTTGTTTGATTTTTAATTTTAGTTCATTTATATGTTTTGGAGTTTAGTATGATGTCCATTTTCACTGAACTAGTACACATTTTTGTTTTCATAATTAAACATATTCATGTGTAAATGTGTGGAATTATGGATTTATTTTGGGATCTTAAATTGATCAATGAAACGAAAAGAAGTTGAATATTTTTTATATACTTTAATTGCTAAGTTATGCTTTTAAACAAGTGCATATATGTTTTTGGTGAGAACATCTTTATATGGTTTCAAAATTTCTGAAATGTATTGCTGTTGAATTATTCTTCCCGTATTATAATTTGATGATAGTTTTTGTTCAATATGCAGTGACCTTAACTCTTAAACCTCTCGTTAAAACTTTTGATGCACAAAATAATTTAACAAAGAGTAATTTACATATATGAACGCACGATATATGATCAACAACCATCGCTCTGTCATACTTTGTTTGCGTGCTTGATGATAAAGTCGTAAGAGTATCGCAAGGTTTCGACATCGTTTTTCCTATGCAACGATATTAACCATAACACCTCTCAGCAATCGCACAGTGCAAGTTTGAAGAAAAAACGGGATTGAAGAAAATTAAACAATCTTGGAAAGAAGATACTATTTACTGATACTGAAACAGAAAACTAATGCATCAATAATTATAACAACTGTCAAGTCGAAGTTAAAATGAACAAATGGGAGTGCATGGAAAATTTACAAAAATCAACACATACAATGTACACATAGCTATATCATTTCACTTATTATTCGGCCTAAATGGTTTTATGCTGATTGTTTATCTATATCACGATCGGTAAACTGTGGTTTCAAAATCGTATTCAGTCCGTTCCTTAGCAGTTTTCGATCAATAATTCCTTAATGAAAAAACCCAAAATATAACAATATAACCTTAGAGCTTTCGAAGAGCTTTCCATGATTTACTTTCATCAGCAACGCTTATATCTAACTATTTAAACGCCAAGTTAATATAAGTTTAAAAGCAAAGAATATAAAGACACAGTCGATTTAAAACTAGATTTAATCAACCATTTTCTATATAAGGAAATGCCTGTACCAATTCAGGAATATGACAATTGTTTTCCATTCATTTGATGTGTGTTAGCTTTTTATCATGACATTTGATAAGGGACTATCCGTTTTGAACTTACCTTGGATTTTGGTAATTTTGTTATTTTATTCTTTGATATTTCGTGGTATTTCAGATACTGATCCAGAGAAATGGGATATGGTTCCTTCTGATGAAGACATTGATATAATGGCACCTTTGATTGGAAACAAATCCTTATTTTTTCTGGTTGAACTTGGTATGGACCTCAAGATATGGGATAAAATCAATTATAGCCAGATGAAACGAGATTTGGTAAAATTGAACAAGGATATTTTAGATGAATGGAGGCTTAATTTTTGTAAAGCAAACAACGTAAGACCTACTATGCGGATGATTGCCCATGCATACAAAAGTATTGGAAAAGATGTAAGAGTTATTGAAACCACTCTGTTTAACTGACCGGATACACATTCGTTGCTCTTTGTTGTAACATCGATGTTTTATGTATATGGTTTTTTGTGTAACATCGGTGTTATATGTATATATATGTTTAACAGTTTTGATTATTTCACATAGACGTAAATTGCTTTCACAAATGATTTTTTTTTCAAAGGATCTGTAAGAAATATGCAATTAAGAATTTTAATAATAAATTAAAAGAATGGAGTAAAACAAACAAAATAAGTATTATAGACTACAAATACTAGACAGACATGATTTGAAATGAAAATCTTAACAAATTTGAAAGTATGACGCGGTTTTTCTTTTGTTTTTAATTCTTCATCACTATTTTTCATTTACAACATATCATGTATTGTTTTTTTTTTTTTATCTATTTCTCCATTACTATTTTTCATTTACTACATATCATGTATTGGTTTTGCATATATTTTTATCTTACTTTTTGCATGTTATGTTTGATGACCTAGTGTTTATTTTTATCATCATTTAATGTTGTCCATAGTGATGTAAGATTTGTATTGGCTTCTTTTTTGTCATTAAAAACAGTTTTGAGTAAAACTAAAACAATTAAGAAAACGTATTCTGTCAACCTTTTTTATTGGATTATGTTTCATTATTTTTCAGTCGATCGAAGGGATTTTTTTTTCTTTTCAATCAACATAAAACTAAAATAATTTGAATTTAATTTAAAGAAAGTAATAAAATTATATAATTTTCAAGCATTTGAGTGATTCGTGATTTTCCTTAAAAAGTAATGCATAATGACAGCTTAATTCTCTGAGTACGGAATTTTTTTTACTGCATTTTTACAATTCTTTTCATTACAAAGACGTTGAGTTACAAAGAGTATGTAATGTGTAACAATAAGGAGAGGAATGCATTGATCTTATGCATGTATAACACTAATAAAATAATAAATCGGTCACAATTGTATCTTTAAACCCGTTGACAAGACAATTTTTTTTATTATTTGGCAAATCTTGGAAATGAAGACAGATAAAAAAGAAAGTTGGCTGCGATCTTAACTGTCCCACTTTTGACCTTGAATGACAAATAATTGAAGGGAGTTTTGAATGTTATGAGCATTTACACGGATATAACTGCAAAATGATTTTGAAAGTGTCCATCCCTTCGCAGACATTGCATATTCCGTTCGTTCTAATTATAGATTAAGTTGCTTTACCTTTAGTTTTGATGGTCTTAAACTATATATTTTAGGTAGTGACGTTGTTTATCATTTAAAATACGTATTATAATGCTAAAGTGCAGTTTAGTCCATGTTTTTGCCATGTTCAATTTTTGTATTTTTGTCTGTCATTTTTGCTTATATGTTTTGTCTACAGAATTTTAACATGCCTTTTTTAGCTCACCGGGGCCCGAAGGGCCCCATATGAGCTTATGCCATCACTTGGCGTCCGTCGTCGTCCGTCGTCTGTCGTCGTCTGTCGTCGTCTGTCGTCGTAAACTATTTCAAAAATCTTCTCCTCTGAAACTGCTGGACCAAATACCTTCAAACTTTAACTTAATGTTTCTTAGGGTATCTAGTTTATAACTTGTATCCGAAGTTTTGATCCATCGACAAACATGGCCGCCATGGCTAGAAATAGAACATAAGGGTCAAATGCAGTTTTTTGCTTATATCTCAAAAACTAAAGCTTTTAGAGCAAATCTGACAGAGGTGAAATTTTCAGACGAATCGAACAATCCATTGTTGGGTTGCTGCCACCGAATTGGTATTTTTAACAAAATTTTGCAGTTTTTTGTTATTATTTTGAATATTATTATAGATATATATAAACTGTAAGCAGCAATAATGTTCAGCAAAGTAAGATCTACAAAAAAGTTAATATGTTTATAATTGTCAATTGATCCCTTAAGGAGTTATTGCCCTTTAAAGACAATTTTACACAATTTGTTCATCAAGTTTGCTAACATTTAAAAATCTTCTCCTCTGAAACTACTGGGCCAATTACCTTCAAACTTTAACTAAATGTTCCTTAGGGTATCTTGTTTATAAATTGTATCCGAAGTTTGTTTCCATCGACAAACATGGCCACCATGGCTAAAAATAGAACATAAGGGTCAAATGCAGTTTTTGACTTATATCTCAAAAACTAAATCTTTTAGAGCAAATGTGACAGGGGTAAAATTGTTTAATTGGTCAAGATCTATCTGCCCTGAAATTTTCAGACGAATCGAACAACCCATTGTTGAGTTGCTGCCACCGAATTGGTAGTTTTAACAAAATTTTTCATTTTTTTGTTATTATTTTGAATATTATTATAGATATATATAAACTGTAAGCAGCAATAATGTTCAGCAAAGTAAGATCTACAAAAAAGTTACATGACCATAATTGTCAATTTACCCCTTTAGGAGTTATTGCCCTTTAAAGACAATTTTACACAATTTGTTCATCAAGTTTGCTAACATTTAAAAGTCTTTTCCTCTGAAATACAGGTGAGCAATTCAGGCTCTTGAGAGCCTCTTGTTTGTATTTCAATATTAACATTTTTATTTTCATAGTGATTAAGATTATAACACAATGTTGTACCCCAATTTTTGACATTTTTACCTATAATGTCTGCTTGTTTTGCTCTTACATTATTAATTTGTTAATAATATGGAATTCTATGCGACTGTCATACAAATGAGAGATTAAGCTAGCAACATCATAGTCGGGATATCTTACATATTGACGATCCTCTCCCTTTTTTCATTGGTGACGCTTTAATAAATTCAACAAATCCTTAGGAACAGTGGATACATTTTTATTCGAAGGACTCTAATTTTGATGCATTTTATGGGTAGAAGTTATTCATTAGTTTCAGGATTTTAGTTTGAGGTTTAAACATGTATACTATGATCTCGGAAACATAGACATATTCAAAGCAGATATCTTTTTCATCACGTACAGAACTGATAGTAGTAAGATATCAATATTCTTTGCTAATTCTGTTTTTTTTGCAGGAACGTTTGGAATAATTAAAACACTCTGGTAGCAATTGTATCAACCTAACTGTTAAAACATAATTTCCATAATTTTTCATCACAAACAGTTATTTGTGTGTGTCATTCTATCTTTAAGTTTTTAGGTTTATTTGTTGTTAAGATATGTTATACAATAAAGTATAACTGTTTGATGAAACACTTTGCCATTGAATCTTTTCTACTAATACAGATTTATAATAAATGCTTTCAAATAAAGTAATCAAAATATTTTGTTGTTGTTAGTCCTTTCTTTCAATCATTTTGAAGCTTTTAAAACAATTGTCACAAAAGGAAATTTTACAAATCCGACTATGTTGGTAACTAACATGCCCAAGACCGCAAGACTGCTAAATCGTGGGCCATTATGTTAAGACACCGACACATCATATTGTTCCACTTTTTCGTGAAGGTTATCATAAACATGTGTAATATCAATAATCAAGGAGGAAGCGTCTTTCATTCTCTAGCAAAGAAATTAAAAAAAATATCGACTGTTTCTTTTTTTTTAAAGTATGGTCACTTATTTTTAGCTGATTGAATAAAATTGAGAAAAAAATTAACAATATGTCAAAGGGACAACAACCAAACCAAAAAGCAAAAACAAACAAAAGTCAACCAACGTTTCTTCAAAACACCGAGAAAATCCTTCACCCGGAGACCGGTTGCAGCTGGCCTCTAAAAATATACTAGTTCAGTGAAAATTGACATTGCCGTAATATCCCAAACATACAAATGAACTACATTAAAAAAACAAACATATATGACTAATAAAGACCAGGGGCTCCTGACTTGGGACAGGCGCACAAATGCAGTGGGGTTATACATGTTAAACAATATATCAGCCATCCCATAATCATCTAGCTAATGTAGAATACACTAACCAGTTATTATAGAATACATAAACACACAGTTATACGGACAGTAAAACTCAGTTACAAAAACGTTTGTCTACTGTCAGAATAAGTAACAGAATAAAATTAAGGAAAATTGCAATGGTACATACATTAACAAAGGACTACTAGCAGTTACTGACATGCAAGCTCCATATATCAATTAAACTGATTGAAAGATTATTCCATCGTTATATGAAATATAACATACTCCCGTTGTGGGTTTAGTATCATGTCATCATAAAATATATGAGAAGAACAAATTTAGTAAATGTTTTAACTGATTTGTGAATACAAAAACCCTGGTGTAATACTGTTCCAGTAATACATACATTTCTTTAGGTAAAACCAAAAACTGTGTTACATACACGAGCGAATCGAAAACATTTGACACAATAATTTTAACTTACTTCGTCGTACTCAAGAAGGCTATGTAAAACTTTTTGTTTCAAGACTTCAAGACGTTACAAAACACTGAACATCATTTAAACTTTTTATTTTCTGATTTGAATTTAACAAACATTTATAACAATTGTGTTTTTATTCATAACGATACGTTAAAAGTTATGTTAGGCGTAAGAAAACTGAAACCGGAGGTGAACTTCCCGTATTAGCACATGGGCCAAGACGTCTTTTTATCCAATTTGCCGTGTTTTTTCACGTATTGGCCCTGCTCAAAAAGCAATATTAATACTTGATTTATATCAGCAAGGCAACGTCATTAGTATTGCGCTTGTAGATTTGTCAGTTGTTTTGCTCATTTCAATTAATAGTGATTATTTTTCAACTGTTAAAATTGACACAAAGTCTGTTAATTGGATCTGTGTTGTCCTATTAACTCATTGGATTGTAATGACCTTGCTATAATCAGTTATGATTGTATAGTTATCGTTTTCTTTTGTAGAAGGATTATCACAACACACTATAAGGAAATGTCTAATACTTAGAGAAATACATTTGTATATAATTTCCATAACTTAAATAGATATCAAAGGTTCCAGGATTATAATTTAATACGCCAGACGCGCGTTTCGTCTACATAAGACTCATAAGTGACGCTCAGATCAAAATAGTTATAAAGCCAAACCAGTACAAAGTTGAAGAGCATTGAGATTGAGGACCCAAAATTCCAAAAAGTTGTGCCAAATACGGCTAAGGTAATCTATGCCTTGGATAAGAAAATCCTTAGTTTTCGAAAAATTCATAGTTTTGTAAACAGGAAATTTATAAAAATGACCATGTAATTGATATTCATGTCAACAACGAAGTGCTGATTACTGGGCTGGTGATACCCTCAGGGACGAAACGTCCACAAGCAGTGGCATCAACCCAGTGGTGTAAATAGTTATCAAAGGTACCAGGATTATAATTTAATACGCCAGACGCGCGTTTCGTCTAGATAAGACTCATCAGTGACGCTCAGATCAAAATTGTTATAAAGCCAAACAAGTATAAAGTTGAAGAGCATTGAGATTGAGGACCCA